TGCTGTTCATCCAGCTCCACACCTTGTTATCTCTGAATAATTTCATGCTTACTTGTATGTTGTTATTTTGTGAGTTGACTGTGTATTTGTCTGTGAGAGTAATCTCTGCAAGCTTGGTGTTGTGATTTTCAACAAGAAAATTATTGCCCTATACTTTCATATGTAAGTTAATTGTGTTTTCACTTTGGGTCATAAATTGAATGAGTAGTGTGTTTTTAGCTTTACCATGTTTCTCAAGGTCTAGGAAATAGTTCAAGGGGAATTGTGGAATATAAAATTTATACCACTACGCATGAAGAATTTAACAAGTTGTGAGTAATCTGTTTTTCTGACTTTTTGAGGTCTGTGACTCACTGGTATGTAGTGTTCTTCAGCAAAAATTAGTTGTTTGAGATTTTAAAGTTCCATTGAGTTTCTGTGTTTACACAAATTACAATAGTGTAACTAAAAACTAAATTAAGTTTTAATTATATACCTACAAAGAAAGTGTTTTTGTACTTATTACTTCTGGTGTCCTTCAGAAGTACATTGCCACTGTTTTGAAAATCTCCTAAATTAATCCATTGAATTCCTAAATTAGTTTTTATCCCAAATGAAAATTTTGTACAATTGATAAAGCAGCTAGATGTAGTAATATCTCTGTGATATTAGTAAACATTTCTCATTAATTAACAGGATGTAGGTGTCACTGGTCAGGCCAGCATTTGTTGTCCATCCCTGATTATCATTGAAGCAGTGTTGGTTAACCACACTGTTGACATCTGAATGGATTCCTCAGCTGTTTCACAGGGCACTTCAGAATTGACTACATTGTCGTGGGTCTGGAGTCACATGTAGGGCAGTCAAGGTAAGGATGGCAGATCTCCTTCTCTGTAGGATGCTGGTGAACCAGGCGAGCTTTTACAACAGTCTTGTGGTTACTGTTACTGATACTAGCTTTTTGTTCCAGATTTAGTTAACTAATTAACAGCATTTAAATTCCCACAGAGTCATGGTGCCTGTGGATCATGCGTTCACCCTATACACTAGTGGATTACTTCAGTGAACTAATATTCCATTTATTTGTTAAATTGTGAGGAATTGTATTCAATTCACTTAAATTCGAATCTCAATTTGCCGGGATATTCATTTGGGAAAGCCTGTTAAGATGGATAACACAGGGTTCCCATATGCACTTCTAATCCAAACTGGTGTAATGATATTCTGGCCAGTAGAAAATCTGGCCTGATATATATTTTACAAAATATAATTACTATTATAATTGATATTAATTAGAGGTGATCCCATTGAAATATACACAATTCTGACAGGCTGCAGGGAGGAGGTTTCCCTGGCTAGAGGGTCCCAAACAAGGGGTCAGGATATGGGTTGGGCTATTTCAGACTGAGATAAAGAGAAATTTCTTCACTGAGTGTGATGAACCTGTGGAATTTTCTACCATAGAAGGCTACAGAAGCCAATTCCCTGAGTGTGTTTAATTAAGAAATAAACAGATTTTTAGAAACTAAAGACATTGAGAGAGATGGCGAGAGAGCAATATATGGCATTGAAATAGCAGATCAGCTATGATCATATCATATATGGTAGACCGGACTCAATGGGACGAACAGGAAAAGGAGAAGGCTGTTTTCCACTTTTTTGTGAAGTTTGATTACACACAGGCTTTTCTTTTATTGTGGATTAACAAGACAGAAAATTTGACTTCTAACTGTACGTAATCCAAATGTCATATTCAGTTGAGGATGAAGTTAAGTGAAGACCTGTTACACCAGAATCTCTGATTACACATTTGATTAGGTTTGCACCATGGTAAGTTTATTCCAGGTTAATCCTAAGAGTTTGATGCATTACTTTTAAACTCTTTTGAACCAACTTTTTTTGGCAAGGATCACGTTATCTGCCTTTTTTATTTGGTGCAGTTGTTGACATGGATGTGTGCTTACACCATTGATAGATAATTCTCAGGGGAGTTGTCAGCTTATTTTCCAGCCTGCACTCAAATTTAAGCCACAATTGTGTTATTTCTCTTAACTGAGAACTTTTAAAGTAGTAAGGAACTCCCATTTTCTGGAAACATTGTGGAAATAGGGACTCATCTTCTATGCACTCTTGGAGTTCTTGAAGCTTAGCCCAGTATTGCCACTGTCCCATTCAGAAAGTCATACAAAGATTCAAGGCCTGTTCCAATGGCATGACCATGTAATTTGGACTAATACTTTGATACATTAGTAAGGCACAGATGCACAGTTGGATGTACTTCATTTCAGATGAAGTGTTTAAACCAAGACCCATCTGTACTCTTAGAACGTAAACAAACAATCCCTTGACATTATCTAATTAAAAGCTGGATGTTATTTAGAAAGTGTGCAGATTTATGAGAATGATTTTGGGGGTGAATGATTTTAATTAAGTGGATAGATTGAAGAAGCTGGGCATTTATATTAGAAAAGAGAAGTTTGACACAAGTTTTGATAGAGATGTACAAAGTTATGAGTTCAAATAGAGTTGATTGCGAGAACCTTTTCTGACTGGGAGAATGGTCAACAACCAGAGGGGACAAATTTAAAACAATTGTGAAAAGGACCAAATCCGAAATTGGAACAAAACATTCTTGCACAGCAAGTGGTTAACATCTAGAATGCAAATCTTTACACTGATGAAGGCCAGTTGAGTTATGGCAATCAAAAGGGAATTGGATAAGCTTTTAAAGGGAAACATTTGCAGGATTAAGGAAAAGGTGACAAGCTAAGTTGCTCTTGCATGGGCCAGCATGGGCTGTGTTGGCTATATGACTACTCACTGTGATCTAATTATTGTGACCTTATTCCCATAGCTGGCCTGGTCACTATTTATTCCTCAACCAACATTGTAAAAGAAGGATATTGTGCTTACTGTTTTAAATGTTGAAAAGGATTTGATTGGGTAGGTATGCAGAAATTGTTCTGTAATAGTAGAACCAAGTAAAAGATTGAGTATCCTTATTAGGTTTAATCAGCCTTGCAGTGATCAGATAATACACTTTTTTTTAAAAAATCAGGAGCAGAAAACCCATATCATTTACGATCTTCCCCAGCCACATAGCTTCAGTTTCTTTACTCTTCCCTCAAATCTCAGACCTAAAATGCTTGGGATCGGTCATGTGATTCTTCTTTGATCTTTGACTTAAATGTTTCCCATGTGCTTCAGTGACTCTTGTAAATGTACTACAAGCGACCTGCAAGGAAATTAATGGAATACATTGACAATAGCTTTAAAGTTGCCCTCACTTTCTGTGGCTAAGTAAGTAGTCTTTATTGTCGTATGAACACTGTTGAGATCAGGAAACTTAAATCTTTAAAGTATTTATATTCCGATGTAATGAATCAAAATGATGGTCTTGGATTTCAATACTGGTGTTAAACATTAAAAATTATTTATAATCCCAAAGTTACACTTTCTTTTCTTTTATTTACAGGTGAAGGCAATGTGATAGAGCTACTGCCTGTGAGGTGGCACATCAGTACAATATCAGTGAAAATAGATCAACTTCTAGTGACGTTGGTAGTTTTTGGGGAAAAAAAAGCTCAATTTTTCACCACTGAGCATGGCCAGTAAAAGGAAATCTAAAATTCCTTGCATGGTTCCTGCCAGTGAGACCGTGGACCAAGACCCAGAATTGGACATGATTACAGATGATCTGCCTCCTGATATTTCTGATGAGAGCTTGACAGCAGATGGTGTAGTAATGGATGATGAGAATCTTCCAGAAAAAGAAGTGCAAGATACTCAAATCAAGAGACTGGAAGGAGGCTATGAATGTAAATATTGCACTTTTGAAACACAGGACTTGAATGAATTTACTTTGCATGTTGACTCAAAGCACCCGAATGTCATTCTTAATCCATCCTACTTCTGTGTGGAATGTAATTTTACAACCAAAAGGTATGATACTCTAAATGACCACAATGCCAGATACCATTCGGGTGAAATAAATTTTAAGCTTAAAATGGTAAAACACAATAATCAAACTGTCTTTGAACAGACTGTTGAAGAATCCAATAGTAGTGGTGTTTCTACGAATGAAGAGCAGGCAGAAAGCACTGACAGTACTCCAAAAGGAATTTCAATAAGTAAAACTCCAATTATGAAGATGATTAAAAATAAAACTGAGACCAAAAGAATCTCTCTTTCTCCTAGTTTGGTAGATGAATTTACTGCTGATCAAGAAAACAATGAGACACTGGGGGCCAACTCAGTCTCAGGATCTACCAATACCGGTGGAATTTGCATTAACCAGGAAACAAATGGGGGGATACTTGATTCAGTAGGTGTAAATCAGATGATATCATCTCCAACTACTAATTTCATTCCAAAAGTTATGATACCTGTAAACAGCATTCCAACTTATAACACTAATATGGATGTCAATACTCACCTAGTGAACTCATTCAACAAATTTCCTTATCCCACACCATCAGAAGTTGCAACACTAAAGACTCAGACAAAATATGCAGAGGAGCAGATTAAAATCTGGTTCACGGCTCAGCGCCTCAAGCACGGTATCAGTTGGACCCCAGAGGAGGTAGAGGATGCCAAGAAAAAACTTTTCAATGGACGTGTGCACACTATACCACAAACAATTACTGTCATACCGGCACAGATTTCAACATCCGCTAATGGATTGCAACACATCCTCCAGCCTTGTCAGATAGTTGGCCAGCCGGGCATTGTCTTAGCTCAGGTTGCTAATACGAATGCGATTACTGGAAATTCTCCACTTACAGTCACTGTTGCAGGAGTTGCAAATCAAATGCCTCAGTGGCAAAAACGCAGAGCACAGGAAGGTGACACAGGCCCTGAAGCAAAACGGGCAAATAATGCACCGCTTCCTCAAATTGCTGCACAAGGAGGTTCTCTTGTTTCTGCCCCAGCCACGGATCCATATAGCGTTCGCCTTAAGAAGACAAAAGAGCAACTGACAGAACTAAAAGCCAGCTTCAATAGAAATGCATTTCCCAGTGATGCAGAGATTGCTAGAATTATACAAGTAACTGGCCTCTCGAGGGGTGACATAAAGAAGTGGTTCAGTGACACGAGATACAATCACAGGAATTCAAGGTGTAATCAAAATGTCAATGTTCCGGAGGTCAGCAGCACTATTGTTTTAGATTCCGGTGATGAAACAACACCAGAATCCCTTGTACTAAATCAACAGCGCAAACATGGGTGGAATGCTTTCCCTGATTTTACTCCACAAAAGTTCAAAGAGAAAACGGTAGAGCAGCTCCATCTCCTCGAAGAAAGTTTCCTTTTAAATCCATTTCCTACTGATGATGAGGTTAACAAGCTAAGGATTGACACAAAACTCACAAGGAGGGAGATTGATGTCTGGTTCTGTGAACGAAGGAAAGCTAAAAGCTCTGAATATAAAAACGAGGAGAATGGAAAAGCAGTTGGAAGTGAGGTTGATATTAAATATAAAGAGTCTGAAGGGGGACCTGCCAAATCCAATTATGGACAAATTCATACCACATCTTTGGCAAGTGGACTAGCAATACCAAGGGTAATGGCTGCTGCAGCTAGTAGGTTATATAAGAAAACACCAGAACAACTGCATCTCCTTAAAAGTGCATTTGTTCGCACACAGTGGCCATCCCCAGAGGAATATGACAGATTAGCAGCGGAGAGTGGACTGGCCAGAACTGACATAGTAAGTTGGTTCGGAGATACGCGATATGCTTGGAAAAATGGAAACTTGAAATGGTACTATTACTATCAAAGTGGCAATGTGGACAGCCAAAATGGACAAACCCAAGTGTCCTACAAAAAATGTAAAGGCAGAGGTAGATCAAGAGGTAGACCACGAGGAAGAGGAAGGCTCAGAGTTGGTGGAAGGGCAAATAACTGGAGTGGAATATCAACCAGCAAAATATCTTCAAGCCTTGCTTCTTTAGGGAAAAATGTTCTTGAACAATACTATTTGAAACACAAATACTTAAACGAAGAGGACCTTGATGATCTTGTTGCAAGATCGTGTATGAGTTATGAGAGCATTAGGGAATGGTTTGTACAAAGGCAAACAGAAAGTGGGGCTTCTGAGAGCAATAATTCAGATGGACAGTACCCTGGTGATGATGAGAAAAATGAAGCACTTGAAGAGGATGAAGATTGGCCTGGGGAAGAGAATGCTAGCCAGGAAGATGAGGATGATGCCTCTGATGTAAGTGCTAGCAGTGATGTATGGAAGCCTCCTTCACAAAAAAACAACCAAGTAATGGAAGCAGATGATGAATTTTCTGTAGAGAATTCAAACATATGAATGTGAGTTATGGAAGTAACTTTTTATGTTCACTTGAAACAGATCTAGAAACATCAATTTAGAAATTATACTTCATCTAATTCTGAAAAATAGAATGTTGTTTATCTTTTGGTGCTGCCAACTTTGAGTGAATAATTTGCTTTATTAACTCTGCTATATTTTATCAAAATATTAATTCAGGATAGATATACGTATAATATAGTAGAACTTTTTACAATTGTATTTGAATAACTCACTTAATGTATCCCATGGAGAATACCAATTGATATTACATTTACATTTTTTTTTGACAGGTACTCAGTAGGGTGTCTGCATATTATTTGCATTAGTTTAAAGTAATATATATTGAATTTAAGATAACTTTTAATTTGGTATCAGACACATGAATTAAGAGGGCACAAGTCTAAGTTACTATCTAAAACTGTCCCTGCAGCTCTGTAGCACTTCCTGATTTGAAAAATAAATTGCATTACGACTTTTAGATGGGGTAGCTTTGTCTGAGAATCCACATCCAGTACAGCTGCACAGTCTTTTAGAATTTGTTTCACATGAGGATCTTAACAGATTCCAGTGTTGCTTTTATTCCATCTGTATGAATGGACCTAGTGTGTGGAAGAGTGTGTGCAGTTAATAATGCTATGGTATATTTCTATTGATATTGTACTGGTAGAAGTACAATTAAAATTTTAATCTCTCTCTATATACTGAAGGGCTATATTGTATCACTTCTAATCATAGCTAAATGTATTTTAATGTAAACATTGTCACTTCAGTTGTTACAGTTCAGCTTGTGGGCATGCACTGTCCACTGTGGACAGAGTCCATATCTTTAGATTCAATTAGACACATTTTACTTTTGAAATATGAACAGATATCTATCAGTTTAGATACAATTTGTGTAGTATAGTTGTAAACAAAAAATTAATCAGGTCTCAAATTATTTAGCTGTTAGCTGAGTGTTTGTAGCTGCTACCAAACAAATTTATATGTAAGTGGATCATCAGATATTATATATTTCAATTTTCCTGTTTTGAACCGCAAGACATACCAGGGTTTGTTTCGGGATTGTGCTTCCCAAGTCACCATTATTCCTGAGACCATTGGGATATAGCTGGACACTGTCTTGAAGAATCTCAAGAAGCCCCAGTGTGTAAATAATGTTGAGGAAACAGGTACATGTTCATCCATGTAAAGTTGGGGAAATGGCAGGTATACATTAGAAATCTAAAAATAATCCAAAATGCAGAGTGCCAGTGGCATAATGGTGATAGAGTGGTAAGCCAGTGGACCAGGCCAATGCTGTGGGGACATGGTAACTGGTTTAAGTCAAATTTTGTTACTCAAGTCTGGCATATAAAGCAAATCTCTAACCATGACTATGACTGATATTGATTGTAGTTTACAAACCCAACTGGTTAACTAATGGATTTTTGGAAGGAGACTGCCATTTTTACCAGATCTTTCCTACATTTGACTCCAGATCCACAGCAGTGTGGTAGGCTTTTAACTGGCTATGTAATTTTAAAATAAAATTCTCTTTACTGCTGAATAATTCTTCGACAAACTGGACTTGTGGTTTGGAGGCATGTGTACTGTAAACGAGGATATTCCATTTGCTACTTTCTGAAGTCGAGATCACAAGAGGGCCTGTGACATATCCAAGAAGCTGGATTCTCTAATCTGTCTTTCAGCTCCCTTCATGACCAGATATTAGATGGATAATAGAGCAAGGACTTGCCTACAAATGTGGTCTTTGGCACTAAACACAAAAAATATCTGTATGTTCCATTTATGGATTTTCAGATACACAAGAAGATTTAAAGCACCCATTTATTATGTGTTTTGACGTTTGTAAATCTTTTGTATCTCCATTTATGTTGAGAGTACACTTTCTATCGTAGAGGATATGTATGTTTACCACTACATGTTTGCCCAACCTTTATGCCCTTATTTAAGGAACAATAAATTTATTTCATTTTGCTCTGCAATCATGGGCCCCATTTCATTACTATCCACTGCATCAGAACTGAGCCTTTTGTCTGTCTGTCTGTCTGTCTGTTCTGTCCATCCATTGGTATGGTGTAGTACAGAATGCCATTCAGCCTATCATACCTGTGTCTGTCTGGTAGGGGATTCTGTCTCTCCCTCATCTCTCTCGCTTTCTGTCTCTAGCCATCCCGGATACTGCTGAATTCATTATCGTCCATTCCCTTTTTTCCAGTGGTTTGAGGGGGAAATTAGTTTTTGCTATGTATGTTTTCTGAGTGCAGAAGACCAATTCTAGCCACACTGTCCCATGACCAATCTGAACCTGGATTACAATTGGTCATCTAAAATAGAAATAGACTTTAGGATCCTTTTTGATAAGTCAATGAAGAACATGATACCTACTTAAGGACCTCTGCTGGAAATTCATTAGCTATCGATATATGGCCTCAATTCAGGATTTTGGATCCTACTGCTACCTCATTGGGGTTTGTGAAAGCCTCAGTGGAAAAAAACAGTTTCAATAAAGAACCTGTGGGAATCAGCAGCATATTTCTTCCTGCTGCATTGTTCAGTTGATTCTCTTATACTTGCTTCCTTTTTGACATGTTTGAAGACTGCAGTCAGCCCAAAATGATCATCTTCAAATTGGTGTATTGTCTTGAATACCCACTTGGCATCTGCAGCAACATGCAGATGAAATCTGAAACAGGCTTGCTATAACCTTTGGGTCTGTGGGTTCTAGTGTGCATTGCCTTTTTCGGACCCAAAAGTCTTCAGATAACACTAGTTAAGTTTAGTACATTAAATATTCCTCAATCCCTTTTAATGACAAATTTAAATTTCTAGCAAATTATTTGAAGTAAAAACTAATTTTCAATCTTTGTTTTCTTTTTCACTATTAGTGTTTAAAGCAGTCAGAAGGGGCTTCTGTTGCACATTGAACTTTACAAGTTTCTTTATTTTAAAACTTTTAGTCCTTGGCTAATTTCAGAAAGTGGATCTTAAAGTTGGGTTTTTGATATCCTGCAATTTGCAGATTTTGTAAATCTATCATTGAAATATTCTTAAGTGAGAAATAACAATATAAAAAACTTTAGGTTACTGACTTGGTTCATAATATTAAACTATAACACAAGAAAAGAAAGCCATGTTAAACCTTTTAACAAATATCCTTGCTCAATTTATGAATTATTACCATTATGTACACCATTTTGATTTGAAATTGTGAAAACCAGCCTCGCTGCTTATCTTTTGAACTCCTGGTATTGCAATGGCTTCACCACTTGTCATTGTTGCCATTTCCTTTCTATTCTTTCTATTTCTTCTGTATACCCCTCACAGCCTCCCATCCAAAGACAAGAAAGAAGAAGATCACAAATACAGCTTGTACATTTCAAGTTGTGACAGATTCTGTGACTGCCGTTTTGTTTATACATTGTACAGTGGCTCCCTATTGGATCAATGTGTAACATGTACGAAACTGACCAGGAAACTGTCAGATTTGTTTGTGGTTCAGCTGTTAGCTTAGGAGATCTCCGACAACAGCAGTAAAATATCTGGTTGCATTGAGTCTTCCCCTCTCTGGTGTTTGAGGAGGTCAACTGTCAGCCTGGATTTCACTTCTAGTTCCTATCCAGTAAATACTTCCGAAAAAGTGTTAGTCTACGTTTAGGTCAAAGCCTATATTCTGTAGTCTTAACTCTCATAAGCCATTTCTTTACAACATTTGTGAATTTTGGAAGAGTCTAGTTTGGGGGACTTGCATTCTTTTAAAGTGGAGAGGGTGTGTTTGATGGAAATGCTGCACTATGTTTGAATAAAACAAAAGTTATCATTCATGTGACTTATATAAGTGAAGGTTGGTGGTCTTTGTATTGTACTGCTAATAGGCTACGTTTATATACACAATTCTATTTTTTTAGCTATTGTGTGTAGTTAAACAGTAGGAAGTCATAATTTAATCCATTAACTGAGATATTTCCTCATGGTGGAAATAGTTGATCTCACTTAGTATGCAATGTGTATTGTTTTCAGTTCTAAACACAACTTTTAGAGACATTGAAATGGACTTGAGTGAAATGTGGAGGGATGAAGCAGTTTAACCCCTCCCCCCTTGAACTTGTTCACCCGTTCAATTTTATATCCTGTCTGATTTGTGACCTAACACATACTGACTTCCCCATATTACTTAATCTATTTGGTTGCAAAAATCTATCAACCTCAAATATAAAATAAACATATTCTAGCATTTTCCAAATTATCTACCGCCCTTAGTGTGTTTCCTAATTTCACTCCAAAAAGATCTAACTCTAATATTTAGCTTTGACCCACAGTCCTAGACTCCCCAAACAGTGGAAATAATTTCCCTCTATCCACCCTACCTGTTCCACTTTAATAACATGGAAATCGTGATCAAATTACCCCTTTAACCTTGGACATTCAAGGGAATAGAATGTATGTAATCTCTCCTTGTAACTTAAATTTTGGCGTCCATAATTAATCCTCGTAAATGTAGCCTGCCTCCCCTCTAAGTCCAACATAATTCTTCAGAAATTTTAGTGTCCATAATTACTCAGGGTACTTTTGGTGTTGTTAGAGAAGGGTCTCTCGGTGAGTTTGTGTGAGAATGCGTACAGGTTAATGCAGACAAAATAAATGAAATGCAGTTCACATGTACTATAAATATGTTTCAATTATCAGTGTTTTATACCAGAATGGGAACAACAGTCCTTGGAAGGAAGTTAAGTTGTCTGAAAAAATAGGTATTCACCAAACTTAAAATGTCACAGCGCTGGTAACTAGAGTCTTTCTGAAATTTGTTTTTCCTCCCCTAGTTGGTCAGTTTGCATAAATTCTGATTCTTAGATATAAGCTATAAATATAAAAATTAATGGTGAAAATCTGTCGTGTTATTATGTTCATAGTTTTGCCAATATATTCTGAGGAAGGGTCGCCTGACCTGAAATGTTAACTCTGATTTCTGTCCATAGATGCTGCCAGACCTGCTGAGCTTTTGCAGCTATTTCTATTTTTGTATTCAAACTCAGCATTGTTTTTCATAAATGTTTCCTAAGAAGCACTTTTTTTTTCATATTTTTAATGGAGCCCACTCCCTGACTGTGACACTGTCAAATTTCTATGTTTTCCATCCTTCTGAACCAGTATCTCCCAGGATCTAACTTTTCCATCAGGCTTGTAATGGATTCAGCATTGTCTTTCCTCATTTGATCTCATTTGATTGGCAGTCTTAAGGACTGCCTCAGGCTCCAGCAAGCTATGCAATTTATATACATTATCAGTATTGGAACTGAATTTAATTGTACAGTGGAAGTAATCTAGCCCTGCTTCCCAGTGTTGTTTCATGTTAATCAATATGTACATCAAGGCAGATTACAGTGGTATATCCAGCAACAAGGTATACTGGGTGGCTAATCAGCAACAGAATTAAAAGGGTGGGCTGGATGAGAAAGGGAGAATAATGTACATGGAAGGGAGGTTTCGGCAGCATACTGAATAATCTTGTCAAACTGAATCTTAGAAATTTTAATAACTGCAAATTTGAGCATTACTTTAGAAAAGGTAAGCGATCACCAAAGATGTAGTTATTATTTAGAATCCTATAGAAGAAAATGTTACCATGTACATATTCTTATTTTTCTTGATGTATGTACAAATAGTATCAATAAATTCTTTTTTTTAAAAAACCTATTAAACTACCGCATTTTCTTCTCTCTAGGAACCACGGACATGGGAAAGTCACCATCGGTTGTTTGAGTCAAACAATTAAAGCAGAGAATCCTCAGCTGTGGTTCCATAAATTAGTTCCATAAAGAAATATCCATGCACCACGTATTTTATTTCTTAGTATAATAAAGGTTTTCTAAATTTCCATAGTGCCAAAGTTTTAATACAAGAGCAGAAATGTTTTTTGTACATAGATTGTTTTGGAACAGATTTGTACAGTTGGGATTTTACTACATTTTTAGTGAGATGTGCCTGAGCACATCTGCACATTTTTTCGTGCTGGCTATTGCATTTCCCAACATGCATTTGCCTCAAGTGTCATATCATATCTGCCTTCCTGGGATACGGGGCAGTTTCAATAAGCTTTGAGCAACTAAATGACATTTTGGAATTAGTTTAAAACAACCATTTATCAGTAAAGAACTGCAAACTGATATATTTGACTCAATTATGCATGGTACTTTTTGTATATGCTTTGGAAAATATATTTGGTCAATTTTATGTTTTGACCTTTTAGTAGATGCTGAAATTTACACACACATTGTAGATGTAGATAAAGTCAGCGTTTTGTTTCTCCCCAAATATTTTCTTCAGAAGCCATATGCCCAGTCGCTAGCATTTTTCAGTGTCTTCTGCAAAAGTGATTTTGTATACTGAAATTAGGAAATTGCTGCTTCTATATATACAGTACTACATTTATATAATATATATAGTATTTAAATATTGTAAGCATTGAGTAAGGGGGTTGCAAGCTGTGGTTTGAATAAATCAATGTCCAGTTCTAATTTTTCACGCTATTTATTGTACTTTATGGTATGAGTACAGTGAGGAGAGCATCCAAATAGATTGGTCATGCTTTTTTATATATATAAATATATATGTGTGTGTGTGTGTGTGTGTGTGTGTGTGCGTGTGTGTGTGTATATACATATATATAGTATTAGAAATTCACCACTATAGTTATTTGCATTTAGTTTATCTTGCTTATGAAAAAAAATGCCATTTGTGCTCAATCGACTTCAATTATGATTTGTTTTAGATTATTTTCCAAAAGTAAAACTGATACCTATACAGCGCTAGTGGTAAGATAAAACAGTAAAAGTGTATCTGGATTTAGACATGTTTTCTATTTCTATAGAAATATTGATCTCCTTTAAAAATTTGAATTATGATTACAGTACTGGCTGGTCCTGGTGAATGATGCATTTTTATAATGCAAAAGAATCATTTGCACATTTATTGTACAAGTACTGTATGTTAAATTCTTCAAAGTTTGATTATTTGTTTGAACTTTGGTTGTTCAACCACTACAGGCACATGAAGTCCTCAATCAAGTTAGTTTGGACCTGCACTAGTGACTCTCAAGCAATTTACCTTTTATATTTTACACTTTTAATATTCACGAAGAATCCTGGCAAAACATGAATTCTTTAAATGCACCATGATAAAATCATTGGTCTTGGTTGCATTTTCAGATTTAAAGTACATGAACAGTGTTTTAGTTTTTAAATTTAGTGAAGACTTAATGTAGCACATAACACTAGTACAATTTGTACAGCTTTTCCAAACACATTTTGGGAAATGCTGCACCAGATGCTTTTTTTCTGGCTTGCTAGCAAGACAGTTTTTAGTTTGTGCAGAGTGCTAGTTGCCTAAATCGTAAAGGTTTAGTATCCTATATTTTTTAAAATGTTAATAAGTATCGCTGTGGTTCTGAACAGTGAAACCTTAAGACCAAACATTGTTGGATGGTGGCAATGACAGAATTTCCCTTCTAAACCTACCCCATAAGACTAACAGAAAATGCAATTGAAAGTTTTTGCATGTCCGAACCATATATTAAATCAATGTTTTCGAAACCTTCATGCATTATTTATCGATGTTTTACTTCCTTTTAATCCAAACTTCTTGATAGGTAACCTGCTGATGTAGGTGCATTTGGTTTTGATACTGGTCAGAATCCATGTACAACTGCTCCACCAATGAGAACTGATCAGCAAGTAGGTGAATCAGCAAATTGTCAATGTCCAATAAATAACAACTTCAACCTTTATACTTTGGCTCGCATTGCAATTTTGTTTGTTGAGCTGCATGCTCTGTAAGGTTCTGAGAACAAAGACATCAAAAATGATTAGCAAAGGTTTGGAATAAATTTTGAAAAATATCTATGAATATCTGACATAATCAGTCAGCATCCGTGCCATTAATAGCTTTCTAGGAAACCTCAATGTGCCGTTGACTGGGTCATTAGAGATTTTTATACAGGCTTATTTTGTATTTGGTCTGGTACTCTTGCTAATGTTTTTACATTGATATCATTTAGCTGTCTACTGTCTTGATATTTAGTTTTTATGTAGATTTGACAAATTCTTTTCCATTGATTATAATGATTGTACTATGTGAACTCGACACATTTCAAAATAAACCTTCATCTTATGATTTAAAGTGTTGTTGGATATAGTTTTAATTTTGCTTTCTGTTCAACTGCAACAAAGATAAAAGACCAAAAACAAGGTCAGGTTGGCGTTCTCTCCCTTTACATGTGCTGTACTCATTACTAAGATGTTGTTACAAAGATGTTTAATATTTAATATTGCTTGTAGAACTTAAGTTTGAAGGATTGTGGGAAAATGGGTTTACTTCAAAATACCTAGAGTAGTTACTTTGGAACAGGTTGTTGAAAAGTCAGGTGGACGTTGAGGTTAATAAGGCTTCCTAGAAGACAAACAGGAGGCTGGAAGAACACAGCAGGCCAGGCAGCATCTGGAGGAAAGGAACAGTCAACATTTCAGATATAACCCTTCTTCAGGACTGGACTGCTGTGTTCTTCCAGCCTTCTGTTTATCTGCCTTGGATTCCAGCGTCTGCAGGTTTTTTTTGCTTATTCCTTGATATGACAACTGATAACTGCTTTCATTGCTGTAGACCCATGCTGGCCTATTTTAAACAGTGACTATTTTGGAGAAGTTCTTGACTTTATCTTGTTCATTTGGAGGAAAGCTTGCAAAGAACAAGCTGCCTAGCTGATCTCTCCAGTTTGTGAAAAGAATTTTTTTTTTTTCTTTTTGCCTAATTTAGTTCAGGGTGAAATATATTTTTTAAGTGATTAAAAGGCAGGTATTGGTGTAGTGGTATTGTCATTGGGCTAGCGATCATTAATGTTCTGGAGATATAGTTTCAAATCCCACGATGATAGGGGGTGATATTTGAATTCTGGAAAATTTTGGGATGTGATTGAAGGAACACACCACAAGATTTTATCTCCTGAGCAACTTAAAACCTTTAAAGTGGGCAGCTATATTAGTGATACCACCAAAAAAAATCACCTGCAAGCTTCCTGCTTGAGAGATAAATGACCAATTCTATTTCAATAAAGAAGTGCTCAAAGAAAATGAGAGCTCTCAATTTTGAAATGACATGACAGTGTCTTTCACGTATATCTGGAAAATGGGTTTCTGACATTTTACAACCCTTTGAAAGACAGCAACTCTGATAGTGCAACACTCCAGAACTGCCACTGTTGTGTCAACCTTGATTTACGTGGTGTAGAAGTGTGCAAAGAGCTCTTGGAATGGGTTTTCCACAAAGCTGCAATTACGCTTCTCTTCTACAGATCATGACAGAGCTCTGCGCTTCTGGCTGGGTCTTCCAACTCGGTTTCTTTAAATGGCTGGGTGATCTTCCATGCATTCTAGCTCAGGATTGTCAGAGAGAGAGAGACAATCTGCATCTATGTTTAGGGCACTAGCTGCCATATTCTCGTATGTGTTCCAATGTTTCAAAGTTTTTCATGATGGTAAGTGAATGTGTGGGTACTTAAGTGGATAGAGTGAATGAAGTAAAGGGATAAACTGGCAGGTAAGTTGAAGGGTATTTAGGATTGGGTTGGAGGGAGTCTGAAGTTATGGTGATAGTCAGATGTTTGGGCGGGGTAGTCAGTGGCAGTAATTGGTTAAGTTTTTTAGTGACTTGGGAGTTAGGCAAGGATTTTTCAGCCTAAGCAACCATTTAGTGTCTGCCTACTGGAGTTTTTGGAATAGGGCAATTATCAGAACTTCAATTTCTGGTAGTCTGGAAAGAATTATTGGGTGAGAGTTCAAAATTGCTCGAGGCTCCAGAGTTTTGCGGGGCCTGCAAACTCGACTTAAGGGGATTTGATTGAACTGGGGTTGAGCTGGGCAAGGGAATTTGAGGAAACGGAACTGTTGTACAGATTTGCTGTATTCCGGGGGAACTAATTCCTCTACGTTGCATGAGAAAAATGGAGGGTTTCGGCTGCGAGTTTGACGATTCTGTATTTGAATCGTTTCGGGAAAGGAAGGCGGCGTCCGGGATAAAGCTAGGATCCTACACGGCGAAACTCTGCGAGCCTCGGGTGAGAAGTGTTGAATTTAATAGCGATCTGTTACCCTGAATAGGCAGTGTGCGTTACACACACAGTCGCCCGACTGGAAACCAGATTAGACCAGCCCTGGAGCTTGAGCTTTAAGCTTTCCTGTGTGGAGGGTTGGGCTGTTAGTTCAGTCGTGGACCAAACAAAGAAGAAATTACCTAAAAGTAACAATTTTATGATCAAAGTTACAGCACTCCCCAAATGCCTTCAATCCTTCCGAACTATTCTGGAACAAATCCTCAACCTCGGTCGATGTCAGATATGACACAGTGAGTAAAATTTATACGCAGAAACAGTACATTTACTCCACAGTGTTCTTCATGCTTTACTGGAAGCGTCATTTCTGAAATCAGTCAGCATTACAAGTGCTTTCTCCCTAGTGATGTGTGTTTCAGTGCCTGTATTTTAGGACAGGTTCATAATTTAGATTCAACATCTCTTCCATTAAGAGATAGTAAGAACTGCCGATGCTGGAGTCAGAGATAACACAGTGTGGAGCTGGAGGAACACAGCAGTCAGGCAGCACCAGAGGAGCCGGAAAATTGACTCTTCCGGTCGGGACCCTTCTTCAGAAATGGCGAGGGGGAAGGGAGCTCAAAAATAGGAAGAGAGAGGAGGGGTGGGGCTGGGGAAGTTATGTGGACTGGTGATAGGTGGGGGGTGGTGTGGTGGGAATTCGTCAGTGATTTGGGTTGGGCGGATAGGTAGGAGAGAAGATGGACAGGTTGTGACAGGTCATGGAGGTGGGGATGAGAGGGAGGGTTGGATGTGGCCTGACTCCGCTAGGCTGACTTATTGTCTCTGCCTACTTCTGTCCCACTGAACCTATCTCCGCTTACCTTGGTTCTGTTTTCTTCCCCTGGACCAGGAATTCCCCACCTACGTCCGGGACACCACCCACACCCTCCTCCACCTCCAAGACTTCCAATTCCCTGGCCCCCGACACCTCATCTTCACTGTGGACATCCAATCCCTGTACACTTGTATACCCCAAGCGGATGGCCTAAAAGCCCTCCAGTTCCCCCTCCACTGATACCCTCATCCACTTAACAGAACTCATCTTTACCCTTAACAACTTCTCCTTTAACTCCTCCCACTTCCTACAGACTATGGGGGTGGCCATGGGAACCCGCATGGGTCCAAGCTATGCCTGCCTCGTGGTAGGATATGTGGAACAGTCCCTCTTCCACTGGCGCTATGCCTCACCTCTTCCTCCGCTACATTGATGACTGTATCGGCGCTGCCTCGTGCTCCCACGAGGAGCTTGAACAGTTCATCAACTTTACTAACGCCTTTCACCTCAACCAAGTTCACCTGGACCATCTCTGACGCCTCTCTCTCCTTCCAGGACCCCTCTGTCTCCATCTCTGGTGACCGCCTCGAAACCTACGTCTATTTCAAGCCCACCGATTCCCACAGCTACCTAGACTACACCTCCTCTCACTCCACCTTCCTGCAAGAATGCGATCTCCTACTCCCAAATTTTGTGCTTCCGCCGCGTCTGTTCCCAAACTGGGGTGTTCCACTCCCACACATCCCAGATGTCATCCTATTTCATGGATCGCAACTTCCCCCCCCATTTGGTGGTCGAAAATGCCCTCAACCGCATCTCTTGCGTTTCCTGCACCTCTGCTCTCGCATCTGCTCGCCCCAACAAAGATAAAGACAGAATCTCCCTTGTCCACCCATATCACCCCACCAACCTCTGCATTCAACGTATCATTCTCTGCAACTTACGCCACCTACAATCAGTCTCCACAACCAAAGATATATTTCACTCCCCACCTGTATCTGCCTTTCGTAGGGACCGCTCTCTCCATGACTCCCTCTCATCCACTGCACACTTCCCACTAACCCCACCACGCTCAGCACCTTTTGCTGCAACCACAGGAAGTGTTACACCTGCTCCTACACCACCTCCCTCCCCTCCATTCAAGGCACCAAACAAACCTTCTACATTAGACAGGGGTTCACCTGCGCATTCGTCAACGTGGTATACTGCATCTGCTGCTCCCGATGTGGCCTCCTCTACATCAATGAGACCGTTTTGTAGAGCACCTGCTCTCTGTTGGTGACAAACGAGCAACACTTCTGGTCACGAACCATTTCAACTCCCCTTCCTGCTCCCTGGGTGACATGTCCATCCTGGGCCTCCTCCAGTGTCACAATGACGCCACCTGCAAACTGGAAGTGCAGCACCTCGTATTCCAACTTGGGAGCCTACAGCCCAATGGCCTAAACTTGGATTTTACCAGTTTCAAAACCTCCCACCTCCTGGCCTCATCCCCGCCTCCTTGACCTGACACAACCTGTCTATCTTCTCTCCCACCTATCCACCCCACCCACCTCATTGACCAATCCCTACCCTACACTCACCGATCACCATCCCACCTACCCTCCCCATCCCCACCCCTCCTCTCTCTCGCTCTCTCTCTCGCTCTCTCTCGCTCTCTCTCGCTCTCTCTCTCTATTTCTGAGCTCCCTTCCTCCTCCCCCATTTCTGAAGAAGGGTCCTGACCCAAAACGTCAACTTTCCTGCTCCTCTGATGCTGCCTGGCCTGTTGTGTTCCTTCAGGTCCACACTGTGCTCTCTTCCATTCACATTCTGTCCTGCACTTCCCTTTAAATGTTGAATTCATTTGTCTATTTTGATTATCATGTGATTTTCACGTGTTTGTAACTTGTTTATTGGCTTTTTGATGTAAGTTCCACCATAATGCAGTTTTTAGACTGCGAATATGTTTCTTGAATAAAAGACCATTGTTGTTGTTGTTGTTGCTATTGTTTGCCTTCCCCTAAAATGCAACAGAACTATTCACTCCAACCACTCCCCTATGGAATAGTAGCGTGTAGGTGATGTGATATGTGGTTTGCAGGGGGAGCGAACCTGGTCAGTGGATCAAGGGGGAGTAGTTGTAGAGGAAGAGGGGTTAGGAATGTCAGGGGTGAGATAGTGGCAAGGTTGGTGGCAGTTAGGAGAGGTAGTTATCAGTGTGAGTACTTAGGGTTTGGTTCTTTAGTTATTCGAGGGTTAGATAGGAGTTCATGTCTAAGGAACTGGAGACTTTGGAGGGTTCCAAGGAGCAAGGGACTTGTTAAATAGAAAGTTCAAATTATCCAGATAATATTTTCCTGTTTAATAGTGTGCAAATTTGGCTGGTCACTAGGTTTTATTCTAATTACTGGTGCTTTTTGAGGAAATTTGACTGAAAAAGTTCCATTTGATCTCATGTCTTTGGAATACAATAAGTTCTACTGTAGTTTTGCCTAAATGAGTCATAGACCCAAGCAAGAGGCCATTCAGTCCATCATGCTTGTGTTAGCTGGTTGAAGAAGCTGTACAATTAACCCCATTCTGCACTTTTCACCACGGTATGGCGAATATTTCCTTTGAAGTATTTATCCAGTTTCCTTTCCAAAGTTACTATTGAATTTGCTTCCACTGCCCTTTCAAGTAGCACATTTCTGATCTTAACAACTTGCCACACAAAAAGAATAGCCCAGTTGCCAACTATTATTCTAACATAACAATATTGCACTAAACTGTTCTTAAAAAAACTACTTGGGACTCGGGTATTGTTTCCTATTATAGGTACCATACTTAACACTTTGGAATGGGTGCAGAGGAGATTTGTTTTAGCGTGGTTAACGGAGATGTGAGACATTTTACCTCCTGGTAGTGAAAACAGATTTTCCTTAGTTAATGCTGTTAAGAATTCTTAACAATTTAGAATGCTTACTTTAAATCTTCTGTTAGCCTATTCTGGTCTAAGCAGAACAATGCTGGTTTTTAAAAGTCTCAATATAATTGATGTCTAGCATCCCCCTTAAACATGCTATTAAATCTCCTCTGCACTCACTCTGAAACCTTCCTAAAGAATGTACCTAGAATGAGACAGGATATTCCACCTGAGTCTGTAGCAATGTTTCTAACAGCTAATATGATGTTACTATATTTTTAACATAATAATTTTTAAATTGTCTTAATTTTTTGCAAGTTGTGTTGGCTGATGTGAAAACTTACCGATGATGTCTACGTCACAAATTGGCTTCAATTAATAACCCTGCAGTAGACTTTATTCATGAAGAAAAACCGTCTAGTTTCAGTGTGTATTGTCCCTGATGTCTTGCAGTGGTTCTGGGGTGAAATCTGCACAGCTGATGATGTGGAGAAGCTGACTGCACTGAAGTTTCGTGGAGATCTGGCATTCAAGCATCAAGATTATCAGGTATCCAGGAACATGGAAGGTTTGCCCTAACCAAGGAAAGACAATTGCCTGTAATACTAAGATAGCAAGAACTGCAGATGCTGGAGTCAGAGATAACAAAGTGCAGAGCTGGAGGAATACAGGCCAGGCAGCATCAGAGAAGCAGGAAAGTTGACTTTTCGGGTCGGGACCCTTCTTCAGAAGTGGGGAGGGGGAGGGGAGCTCAAATAAAGAGAGAGGAGGGGTGGGGCTGGGGAAAGTAGGTGGGATGGTGAAAGGTGAGTGCATGTAAGAAGTGGTGGGGATTGGTCAGTGAGGTGGGTGGGGTGGATAGATGGGTGAGAAGATGGACAGGTTGTGTCAGGTCAAGGAGGTGGGGATGAGAGGGAGAGTTGGTCATGGAATGAGGCCGGGAGTGCGGAGATTTTGAAACTGGTAAAATCCACGTTTAGGCCATTGGGCTGTAGGCTCCTGAGGTGGAATATGAGGTGCTGCACTTCCAGTTTGTGGGTGGCATCATTGTGACACTGGAGGAGACCCAGGATGGACATGTCACCCAGGGAGTGGGAGGGGAAGTTAAAAAGTTTTGCAACTGGAAGGTCGTGGTGTTTGTTGTGTACGCCTGTAATACTACTTAGTTTTTTCAAAAGCCAATTTCAAGTTTAGAACTGCAGAGTTGGGAAATGTTGCAAGTATGCCATCATTTCCCTATCATTATCAGACTGCCTGTGATGCATTGCCTACAAAGTTTTCTTTTAATTGTGGGGCAAAATGCACACTTGTTTTTGGGGGATATGTAGATTTGCTTTTGTTAAAGATGCATTTTGGCTGTGACAGTTTTTAATAATAGTTGAATTGATCATTGTAAACAGCCACTTGATCACAAGATACTGTATATAATGCATTCTTTACTGCACCTTTTCTTTCCCAGAAAGCATTGTGTGAATACTCCAGTAGTTTGACCCTTGTTCCAGAGTCAAATATTGCGCTCAGAAGAGATCTACAGGAGGCCCAAGCTCGATGCCTGTGCCTTCTTGGCAGATCTGATGATGCCTTGGATATAGCACAGAAACTGGTTAGTCTTAACACCATTTTAAATTTCACCGTGTTATGATGCTATGTATGTAATTAAAAATACATGGTTTGTATTACACAACACTGAAATATCAGCTACAGTTCAGTAGGTAACGTTTCTCACCTTTGAGTCAGAAGATCTGGGCTTCAAGTGCCACAATGAGACTTGAGTGTATAATCCAAGCTGACTCTCCTAGTACGCAAGGAGTGATGCATTGTTCTCGGCTCCACCTTTCAGAGACATTAAACCAAAGCCCCTTCTGCCCTCTCAGGTGGATGTCAAATAGTCCATGGCTATCCAAAAAAGAAGCCAAGAATTGTGGATGCTCTAAATCAGAAGCAGAACAGAAAATGCTGAAAAAAATGCAGCAGATTTGTCAGCATCCAGGGAGAGAAAGTAGAGTTAATATTTCGGGTCCAGAGACCTTTCCTCCGAACCCTTCTTTGTCTCCACAGATGCTGCCAAGCCTGTTGAGTTCTGTTTTTGTATCCTGTGGCTAATAGTTGGAGAAGGAGCAAGCTAACAATTAACTCTCATCCAGCATGATCATACCAGTTTTGTCTGGTCATTACGTGATTTATTTTTATTTTTTTTTTTTTATTTATTTTTTTTTTTTTTGAGGGACCTTGATCTTCCGCATTGCCTACATACGCCAATACACTCAGTGGATTGTAATACGATTAAGCAAAATCTGTGATAATTACTTAGTAAAGGAGAAACTTGCCCAGCTATGAGGAAAGCAGAGGGAATGGGACTCATTGGATAGCTCTTCTACAGGGAGTTGGCATGACACAGTGGGCTAAATGGCCATTCCTGTGCTGTATGATTGTATAATATCATGTTGCAGACAAGATAACACTAATACATTGTAAAATTAAACCACTTGGGATTTTCGTGTATGTTAATAATTTAGGTGTTTTCTTCATTCTAATCTGTCGCTGTTTTTATTCTGTCTACTAGAGATCCGAGATAACCAATACAGACCATCTCACTACAGTTCTTAACCTGGATATTCTCATCTATCGGAATGCTGGAAATCTGTCTGAAGAGCTCAGCTGTTTACAACAATTAATTTCCATGCACACTCTCAATCCATGGTACTGGAAGAAGCTAGCTGAATGTTACCTAGGTCATGCTCATGCCTTATTGTCTGCAACAGTGTCAGTTGTCCCAGTCTGCAAGGATGGACGTTGCCTTAAAATGTTAGAAAAGTCAGCTATAGAAACAGCAACATCTAAAACCAAAGCTGACTGTGCACAACTTCAATCATTAAGCAGAAATCCTTGTGGGCAAGTGGATTGTAAAAGGCAAATAAACCTCATCAGGAATGCATCCAAGGTGGAGAATTCTGGCCTAACTTTTACAAGCCATGTTGTCTCTTCTTATTCAGCTGTTGGTGATAGCATTGAAGTCGATCTCAAAAGAGGACAGCAGTTGAGGGATCTGTGGCTGTTTGCATGTTCCTCCTTTGTAAGAGCGAGGTAAGTATGTAACACGTGAATGGGTTAAAAGAAAAACACAGTGAAAAAAATTGAGAAATAAAAAGGGAAAGTAGGGAAAAATGTCAAATGTTTAAGTTTGACTATTTGGATTAAATTGTCCCTTTCTGGCTCAGCTTGATTGTTTTAGATTATCTTGTTATTAGTAAGGGCAGATTCTGGAAAGGTTCCTTTAGGCTGGAAAATAGCAAATATAACCTTTTTTATTCAAGGAAGGAGGAAGGTAGAAAAAATGAGATTTAGAGGCCAGTTAGCACGTCATTTGTGAGGAAAATGTTAGAATCAATCATTGAGGTTATGACTGAGCAGGTTGAAAAACTCAGTAATCAGGGAGAGTCAGCATGATTTTGTGAAAGGGAATTCATGCCTAACCAATTTTTTTGAAGGAGTAATATGCTGTGAATAAAGGGAAACCCATTTCATTCGAAGGTAGGTAGATTTTTGTAGGGGCTTCCAGAAGCATTTGACAAGGTTCTACAAAAATCTTATACCATAAATTAGGGGCTCACAGTACAGGGCTAATATATTAGCGTAGATTGAAAATTGGTTGGCTGGCAGAAAACAGAGTATGCCTTGATGGATCTTTTTCAGATTTGCAGAATATGATGGGTGGAGTCCTGCGTGCTGGGCTTTCAACGTTTTACAATTTATGTCAATGACTTAAATAAGGGATTTTGGATTTAATTTGATTTATTATTGTCACATGTTCTGAGATACAACAAAAAGTATTGTTTTGCATGCTATCCAAACAAATCATGCCTTATGTAAGTACATCAGAGTAGACAGATTGCAGAATATAGTGTTACAGCTATAGAGAAGGTGCAGAGAAAAATCATCCCTAATATGAGAGGTCCGTTCATAAGTCTGATAACAGCAGGGAAGAAGGTGTTCTTGAATCTGTTGATACAAAAATTTGAAAGCACATATCTTCTGCTCTATAGAAGAGGGTGGAAGAGAGTATAAAAAGGGTTTGAGGAGACTTTGATTATGTTGGTTGTTTTCCGTAGGCAGTGGGAAGTATAGAATCCAAGTCATAGTGGCCAAAGTTACAGAGAACAAGGACAGGTAGGAAAGTATGTTGTGAAGATAACCTAACTATAATCTGGTTGTTCCTATTTAAAGTGAATGAGCAAACATCCAGCATATGGAGTATGAAGTGTGAAAATGTGTAGTTCTTCACAGGCTGCAGGGGGCTCAGTGGTTGTCAGCACTGCTACCTCAGTGTCAGAGACCCAGGTTCAATTCCAGCCTTGGGCCATTATCAGTGTGGAGTTTGCACGTTCTCCCCTCTGTGGATTTCCTCTGGGTGCTCCGGTTTACTCCCATGGTCCAAAGATCAGCAGAATAGGTGGATCTGCCATGCTAGATTGCCCATAGTGTCCAGTGAAATGCATGTTAGGTGGATTAGGAAATGCAGGATTATAGGCATGGGTGTAGGTCTGGGTGGGATGCTCTCTGGAGGGTTGGTGTGGACTTGATGGGTCAATTGGTCTGCTTCCACACTATAGGGATTCTATGATTCACTTTTTTCCCCCCAGGAAGAATAAAAAAGCAGAATATTATTTAAATGAAGAATAACTGTAGAATTCTGAGGTGTAGTGGGATCTAGGTGTTTTAGTGCCAGAGTCACAAAACGTTAGTTTACAATACAGTAGGTGAAGAAGAATAGCTTTTCATTAATCTTATTTACAAGAGGAAATGAATATGAAAGTAAGGATATTATGCTTCTGTTATGCAGAGCACGGGTGAGGCCATATCTTGAATACTATGTGGAGTATTTAACAAAAAATATAAACCTGTTGGAAGCAATTCAGAGGAGGTTTAGTAGATTGATACCCAGTAAGAGAGAGTTGTCTTATGAGGAATGATTGGTCAGACTGGGCATATTTCCACTGGGGTTTAGAACAGCAAATAGTAATATGATTGAAGTTTATAAGATCCTGAATGGTCTTAAAGTTGGATGTGGTGAGGATGTTTCCTCTTGGGGGTGAGTTGAAAATTAGGGATCACCCTTTCTGCTTTTAGCTCGGAAATGGGGGAAATTGTTTTCTCTGAGGGTTGAGACACTTTGGAACTCTCTCTGCCTTTGGTGGGGTCGTTGAGCATTTTTAGTTCAAAGGTAGGTAGATTTTTGCAGGGTGAGGGAATCAAAGATCAAGTATTATGGAGGGTTTGCAGGGCTGGAGGAAGTTAAGTGATAAGGTTGGGCAAGGCCATGAGAAGTTTTGAAAGGAAGAATAAAAATATTAAAATCAAGATATTATTTAACTGGGAGTAAATAGATCAGTGAGCATAGAAATAATAGCAAACAGGATTTGGTGGAAATCAGGACTCAAAATAGAGTTTTGGATAACCTTAAGCTTACAAGAGGTAGAATGTAGGAGACTGGATAGGAATGTATTGGAATAGTCTAGAGGTAGCGAAGGTAGTAGTGAGGTTGATAAGCTGAGGAGATGGGGAGTATTACAGACATATAAACAGGTGATCTTAGCGATAGCGTGGAAATGTGGTTGGAAGCTCATCTTGGTCTAAAGGACACCAAGGTTGGAAATCAGTCTGGGTCAATCTGAACACAATTGCCAAGAGAGAAAAGAATGGAGTCAGTAGCTAAAGATTAAAGTTTATGATGGGGTCCAAAGACAAACCCAAATTTTAGCCATTCTGAGATGAATTGTATTTTACCAATGAGATTGAACTGTGAATTTTATGTATTATTAACTACATGCTGCAGTTTGCTTTACAATATTGAAAGATTAACCAATGAAACCGAGCTGTGCTCAGACTTCTGTTGCAGATGGTGAAGGCACAGCAGGCCTCTTTTGTCTTAGAGAGGAACCTGACTGTCCAAGAGGAGATCAGGCAGGAACTCAGCAATCTGGAGTTGAGAGAAGAGGCACTGAATGCAATAAGTAAGGTAGCTGGATGCTTTATATTTTTATAAACGGTGTGAGTAAGCTGTGTAAATTTCTATGTCCAGTTTTCAGACACATAATGATACTTGGGTTTCCTATTCATTAATCCCAGATGTCTAAACTAAACTCTGATATTTCCTCCCTAAACCTCCTAGTCTCCAGATGCTTTTAAAAACCTACGTTTTTGACTAAATGTTTGATCAGTTTTGATCAAACATCTCCTTGTGTGCCTAGGTATCTGATAATCACTCTTATGAAAGATCTGCGAGCAACATACAACGTTACAAATTTACAACATTAAAGGCACTGTATAAATGCAAGTTGTTCAGCTGTACATTCTTAAAAACAGGGCAACAAATTCAGTAGTATATCCATTGTTGAAATGGTTTTGTGAAAAAAAAATTCCAGATCAGTGCTTTTGAGACACTCCAGAACAAATCCAAAGGTCGATTTACACAGATATGATGATAGATTGTGTTTGTATAAGTGTTGAGACCATGATACTGCATAATTGAAAGAAACTATTCAATGTTGTAATGTGAAAATAATAGGCTTGGTTTTCCGGATCCAAATTTGTCTTCAACCAAACCCATTTTGTATGAAGGCTAACTTCGTCTGGTACAATATAGAACCTGAACAGGTTTATTAATCTTTTGTGTAGAGTACCAAAACGAGTCAGTGATGGTAAACTTTTATAAAACACTGGCTAGCACTGACTTGGAGTGACTAGAGAAGTTGGAGTTGCGCTCTGAAAGCAGAAAAAGCTTAAAAAAAAAAAAAAAAAAAAAAAATCTAATTAGGCTGTTCAAAGTTGAAAGGTGCTTTGATACAGTAGATGGCGAAAAACTGTTTCAGTGTCAAGGTGGGGCAGTAACCAGGGTCACAGATTTAAGATAATTGACGAAGTAAGCTGGAAGAAAATGAGAATTTTTGAATGCAGTGTGTTCTGATGTATACTATCTGAAAGGGTAGTAGGAGCAAATTCAATAGTAATGTTTGGCAAAGAATTGTGTAAGTATTGAAAGAGAAAACAAACCTGTAAAGTTACAGGGGAAGAGCACGGGGAGTGGAACTAATTGGAAACCTCAAAGTGCCAGCACAGGCTCGAGGCACTGAATGGCCTCCTTTGTTGTAAGGTTCTTTAAAAGTATGATGTTACATTGTGTATTGTTGCTGAATAACATCTATTAGAGGTGTTGATTTAGTTGTACTGTTAGTGTGGTGAAAGACAGTAAATAGTAATGACAGATGTGCATTAGCTGTGAATCCAAATTTTCATGTTTTTAATGGTTGCGGTGGGGTTTTGATGTGTCTTTGAATTCAGTAGTTTTAGTTGATTTCGTACCAATTCCAGAACAGTACAGTGAGACAATCTTTTAATTGATTTATGAGCTGTTAAAACTTCCTACTTTTGATTTGAGGCTGCAATGTTATAGAATAGGTTAGTCATGAGCATCAACTACAAACTTGCTTCACTGGCAGGTGGCGAAATGAGCTCAAAAATATAATCATCTGTGAGTGTGTAATAGCATTAAAGTCCCTCTCTGATACTTAAATGTGATTTTGTCTTTGCATGAACCTTTTTTCCCTCCCTGGCAAAAATGTTTGAAGAAGGGCCCCGACCTGAAACATCAACTTTCCTGCTCCTCTAATGCTGCCTGACCTGCTGTGTTCCTCCACCTCCACGCTGTGTTATCTCTGACAGGTTTAAGTTCTGTGTCACATTTTTGTGACCAGTTCTGATAAAACATTTGTCAAGCAAGTGTGACTGGCCCCAAGCAATCATGTGACTCAGTTAATTTATTCAAGTACTGAATTATTGTCGGTATATGAGAGCATATTAGCCTAGTGGTAATGTTACTGGGATAGCAATTTAGAGGCTTTGCTGAATAATGCAGGAAACAAAAGCTTAACTCCTGCTAATTTGAATTTTTAAAATTTGTGAAAGTGACCATGATGATTCATGAAGAAACTTGCTATCCTTACCCATGTGGGCTCAGGGAAACCAGGGAGAGTTAGTACATGTTGTTCTTGCCAGTACCACCACATCCTGAAAGTGAAGATCGCATAATCTCAGTAAAGTTCTTGGAGCCAGGTACATCATGAAAGCTCCCTTACACAGCCAAAATTATTTAGATTTCGATGTATTTATTTGTCACATGTACTAAGTATAGGAATACATAAGTACAGCGGCACTGGTGCCCACTTGGTTAGAAAAACTAGAAATAAAAGATTTAACAGAGCCAAAAGGTAAGCAAGAAAAAGAAGAAAAGTCCAGTTCTCACAGTCCCGAGTCCCATCTCCACAATGGTGCAGGCACCGCTACAATCGCTAGGACACCCAGAAGGCTGCTGCTGCTGCCATGCGAAAGGCCCACTCTCGCCCTCTGCAGCTGCCTTACCAGCCCGCTCTCGCTGCCAAACTGGTCCTCTCTTGATCCGCCACCGTCACTCCGGCCCACGCTCGATCTGCTGTCACTGCAGGATATGGTCCGCACATTCAGCTCCCGCCATGCGGTTCCTGGCCACAAGCCGACTCCTTAGGTAAGTAGTTAAAAGGACGGCAGGTGAGGGAAAGATACAATTACTGCAGAGAGGAGAGAGAGAAGAAGAGAAAAGGAAAGGGAACTGGCGAGCAGAGTGGAGCTCCAAATGAAGCGACTTACCCTGACGCCATCTTGTTTTACAGTGGCTAACAGCTTGCCCACCATTTGAAAAGATTGCAAATGTTTTGTAGATTTCTGCACAACTTTGAACTTCAGCTTGGCTCAGCTTACAATTGATTTGGCACTTGGTCAGACGATGTGTGTGTATCTCACTCACTCATCCATTCACCCCTTGACATTCTATGACATTAACAAAACTGAATTTCCCACTATCGACAACCTGGGGGTTAACATTAACCAGAAACTGAACTAAACTAAATTTGAACAGGTCAGAAGCTCATAATTTTGCAGTGAGTAACTCCCGTCCTAACTTCTCAATTTGCCCACTGTCCTCAAGGCAGAAATCAGAGTGTAATGGAATCTTAATGAACAAAGCAGCCTGCTTTATTAGCACCACATCTACCATCTTTAACATTTGCTTTCTCAGCCACTTTGTCCACAGCAGTGTTTTCTGTCTACAAAATGCACTGCAGAAACTCACCAAGATTCCTTAGATAACACCTTCCAAATCTACAGCATCTACCATCTAGAATGACAAGAGCAGCAAATGCATGGTGGTGTCATCACATCAAGTTCCCCTCCAAGCCCCACACCATTCTGACTTGAAATTATATCACTGTTCCTTCATTGTTACTGGGTCAAAATCACGATGATGTCCCGACATCATGAGGACTGCAATGGTTAAAGAAGATAGCTCACTACTTATTACCTCCTCAAAGGTAATTAAGAATGGTCAATAAATGCGGGCCCAGTAAGTGAAGCCTACATCTTATGAATGGAAAACAGGCAAATAACTGAGTTTGATATTTCCATACCGTACTGAGGATTTGCTGCTCTGTCAAAACTGCTGTTCTTCAGTTGACTTTTCTAGATCTGTGTTTACATTTATTTCAATGTAGAGAAGAGTATTTTCTTCCTCTTCAGACTGACCATTTTATTTGTTGCTTGTGGGAAATTGCAGCATACAATATGACTGTGCATTTACTGAGATAATGAGTCTTTGCTATTGAAAGTGAGTCATAGTACATGTAGCCCTTTGAGATTTTTCTGAGAGTCGTTAAATGAATTCAGATCCATGTTTTATTGTGATATTTTCTACAAAACCAATGTTTCTCTTGTTTAATTATATTTTGTGTCAATTCCACTGGGAGTGAAAATTAGCAACTCTATAGGATAAAATACTCAAGACATATAATGCACATTTGATGTGGTTTCTTTGTGTTGGATAGTTTAATGCTCAGGCTGGAAGAACAGAATGTACAGTTCCTTTTAGACCATATCAAACTCTCTTTGGTCCCAAAACACATGTATGTAATTTGGTCTAATATGTACCAGAGAATTTGGAAATGAGCCCAGTGTATTAGCAAACAGTATAGTGCAGTTTAGCAAAGCTTCATGTTTGTCCTGTACAAGAGACTGGAATTTTTTGGGACTGCTCTCTAAATAAAAGAGTTTACTCTTGTTCAATTAGTCCAGCTTCATTATTATGCATGGGATCTAAATGTTCAAGACAAACGTTCCAGAGATGAGGAACCTCCGTTGTGAAGGTAGATTGGAAAAGTTAGGAATGTTTTCCTTGTAGAAAAGGTTGAGTTGAAGTTGAGGGGAAAATTGACAGAGGTGTTCAAAATCATGAAGAATCTGGACAGAGTAGATATGGAGAAACTGTTCCCACTCGTAAAAGGATTCAAAATATGAGGGCACAGATTTAAAATAATTAGCAGAAGCAAAAGTATCTTGAGAGAAGCTTTGAATTGTTAAGGGGTAACATGCACTGTTTGAGACTGGTGAAGACAGGTTCAATGAAGCATTCTGAAGGGAACTAGACTGTTAACTGGAAAGGAAAATGTGCAGGGTCATTATGAGTAGGCCTGGAAATTGCACTAAGTGAATTGTTTATCCTGTGATCTGGTGCAGACACTTGGGCAAATGACCGCATTTGACGATGTAACAATTCTGTGATTTTAACCTTCTCAAAGGAATTTCATTTTCATTATTCAAATGCAAAACATCTTTAATTCACAACACCTTCACAAAAAGCATCCTGTTGCTTCAGTGCAGTGATGATGACACATCATTGCTGGTAGAGGTCAGAGATGTAGGCAATGAGCAACACTATTGATTTACTGAGATAACAAGGTGTAGAGCTGGATGAACACAGCAGACCAAGCAGCATCAGAGAGCAGGATGGCTGACGTTTCGGGCCGAGACCTTTCTTCAGTTTTACACTCTCAATACACCCAAAATTAAAAGCTTGTTGAAAACCTCCTGTCCAGTTTATTTGGAAGTACAAGAAGGAGTTCAAAACACTTGGCTAAGATCTGATCAGCCTTATTTTGACAGGATCTTTAGGACTGTTCTATATTTGCCCTGGGAACACTTCTAAGTCATTTGTGCCAGTTTATTTCTGCAGCTATCAATATAGGATTTGTCAGGAATCCCTGCTGTGTTTATGCTTCCTGGATGAAGTAAGGAAAGAGACTGACACCCAGTCAGTATAATTATCACACTCCCAAACCTGATACATCGGTGGAGGTGATCGCACGTCAGTTCGTCTGAGAAATCTTTTGCTAGAGAGAAAGAGAGCAAAATTACACTGGCAAGAAATTTATGAGAGAATAGGCCAATTTGGCTCCATGAATATCCTCAGTCATTCAATAGGATCATGGCTGATTGAATTGCAGTCGGTACTCCACTTTTCTGCTTGCCCCCCATACAGCATTGTCTTAATCAAAAAATCTGTCTAACTCTGCCTTAACTATATTAATAACCAAATATCCGCTGCTATCTGGGTTACCAGATTCCAAAACTAAATGAGAAACGCAGATTGTGACAGAGTTTTGTGACCTATTGGAACTGCTAAGTAGCAGTTATTTTTAGTGCGGGTACAACAAGTGATTAAGAAGGCAAACAGTATGCTAGTCTTTAACGCAAGTGGCTTGCAATATAACACTGGGAGTCTTGCTACAAACTATGATTTTGGCAAGGGCACACTTTGTACACTGTGCACAGTTTTTGTCTCTGTACCTAGAATACTTGGCTTTGAGAGGTTGCAATCAATATATTGATTTCAGGGATGAGGGAATTGTTCTATGAGTGGAATGGACCTATAGACTTTTGATTTTAGAAGATTGAGACATACTCTCATTAAAAGTTACAACATTTCAAGACGGCTTGAGAGGGTTGATTCTAAGCGACAGCTTCCTCTGGCTGCAAAGTCTAGAACTAGGCATTCTAGACTCAGGATAAGGGGACAGCCATTTAGGACTGAGAACACGGTGATTGTTGTAGACTGTTAGAATTCCCTACCCTGGGATGCTCAGTCATTAAGCATACTCAAGACGGATGTCAAAAGATCTTTGGATGCTAAGCCTTTTTGAGGAGTGAGCTCCAGATTCCCACTATCTTGTGTATGGATATTTCACCACTTAATAATAAACTCATATTTTAAAATTATTATCCCTTGTTCTGGACTTCATTCCCTAACCCTGGCTGAAGAAATAGCGTTTTTAGCAGCCCAGCTGAATCCTTTGATCATTGCAAAGTCCTAAATTAGAACAACCTCAAAATGAAACCTTTTAAGCTCTGACATGACTCAGCTCGGACATTGTCTGAACCTGCTTCTTTGCAACAGTGATAACTTCCTCCCATTTGCAGTGAATTTTCAATCAACCGTAATCGGAGGTATAGCTTTGCGAGATGTGAATGCAGGAAATGTTACAAAAAGTGATCTACAGCTAAAACCAGATGGCAACAATGGTACAGTGAGTTGTTTTATTCGTTCACAGGATTACGTTGTCACTAGCTAGGCCAACGCTTGTTGCCTATCCCTAATTGCCTAGGTAGCAGTTAAGAGTCAACCACGATGCTGAGAGTCTGGACTCATTCATAGGTTAGACCATGTAAGATTAGCATTTTCCTTAAAGGAAAATTGTCCTTCCCTAAAGGACATCAGTGAATCAGATGTGTTTTTCCCAACAATCGACAATAGATTCATGGTCATCATTAGATTCTTCAGAAATTTCTGAAGAAGGGCCCAGACCCGAAACGTCAGCTTTCCTGCTCCTCTGATGCTGCTTGGCCTGTTGTGTTCATCCAGCTCTACACCTTGTTATTCTCAGATTCTCCAGCATCGGCAGTTCCCACTATTCTGAAGGGAAATAAGGTAATTTTTCTAATGCAGCAGTTGTTACAATTGGGACAGTGCTATCAAACAGGATGTTGAGAGCAGATTCAGTTGTAACTTCTATAAAGCATTTGGATAAATACTTGAAAGAGAGAAATTTGCAGAGCTATGGGGAAAGGCCTTGTGAACGGGACTAATTGGAAAGTTCTTTCAAAGAGCCATCACGGGGACAATGAGCCACACTCCCACCTTCTGTAATATGATTCTATGGAATTTATATTGCAAGTACAGTATTTTGCTTTAAATGGAAATATTAATCCTTTGCTCACTCTCAGGTGATGGCGGAGGACCTGCTGCTGGACAAGTTTAAAAATGGTGCAGAGACTGAAAAGCCTGCGACATTTTCCAGTTCATCCTCACTCGACTGCGTTACCATCGAGTCAGGCTCTGACTTTGAGCAGAGGTGGTTTAAAAAGCTCCGAAATGAATCCTTCTACTGTCCCATATGGAAGTGAAACAGGGCAAGAAGGTAAAAATGTCTCTGGATTACGTTAATCTCTGCCAAGGACTGTGAGAGTGACCTTGTGTTTGTAGTGGATGATGAAGAAACTCGAGCAGAGCCCACTTAGCTGAAAGAAAACAACACCTGCTCGCGACAGAATGGCGAAAATGCTACTTGTACATTTGACAAATCTTGACAAGGCATCTGACTCCTGCAGACTTCGGGAGTGAGAGTTCCATATCCCATGTTGCCTGTATCTCCCTCGTTGCCCACACCTCTCACTTCCAACATTGGAATCCAGTTTCTGACTCATTTCTTCAATTAGCTATCAGGCCATGATGTGATTTTGTTACTGTAGAAGTTCTGATATAAGCACTATGGTTTCACAATAATGTGCCAAGAAATGTTCATATCTGTGATGTTAACTTTTATATTTAAGATACGCTGGAAGATCATTATTCTCCCACTATTTTTATCTTTTTTTAAATTTTAGTTTTATTCATATTTTTCTAATTGTAGGAAAGTTTAGTTTCTCTAAATTAAAGCTGTTTTACCATTTTCTGGTATTTTTTCCGGACTTCATTTGTATTTATGTCGCCTTAAGGTAAATACATAAGTCGATAATGTGACCATATATCCTGGTTTTTCATTAACTGTCCCAGTGTCCTGACAGTTTCCTAAATACGGTTCAAATGTTCCAGGTTTCATCTTTTCTCTTTTTGTCAAATATAAACTAGGCCTTGAGGAGAGAATCTGTGTGAAACTTCATCCTTTTTCTTGAAGTATAGGAATGATGGAGGGTGTGTTTTGGAACAGCTGAACTGAGAGGTTAAAAAAATGCATATGTTTCATAAATATTCTTTTGCAATTACACGTAGATATGATTTGTAGGATCTATGGCTTATAGAGGTTTATAAAATCATGAGGAGCATGGATAGGATGAATAGTGAAGGTCTTTTTCTGAGGGTGAGGGAATCCAACACTAGAGGACGTAGGTTTAAGGTGAGAGGGGCAAGATTTAAAAAGGACCTGAGGGGTAACTTTTTCATGCAGAAGGTGGTGCGTGAATGGAACGAGCTGTCAGACGAGTTGGAGGAGGCAGGTACAATAACAACATTTAAAAGGCATCTGCATGGGTATATGAATAGGAAGGGTTCAGAGGGATATGGGCCAAATGCTGGCAAACGGGACTAGGTCAGGTTGGGATGTCTGGTCGAGCCAAATGAGTTGGCCTGAAAGGTCTGTTTCTGTGCTATATGACTCAGAAAATATTATGTCAAATATATCTATTTTTATGTATTGGAGATATTTGCATTTTTGTACTCCGTAGTTTTTTATACTGCACAGTAATTGCATTTCAGAGATTGGGCTTTTATTTGGGAAAATTAATCCCATGTTGCTGTTGAATGATATTATTCACCCA